TTTTAATGAAAACATCCATTATTTCTTTTATGGATTGTGCATTTGGTGTTGCATATAAAAAGTCATCACCAAATCCTAGGTCATCTTGATCTTCTACTATATTATCTTCTAGGTGTTTTATAGTTTTGCATTTTATATTTTGGTCTGTGATTCATTTTGAGTTAATTTTGTAAAGGGTAGAATGTCTGTATCTAGATTCATTAGTTAACATATGGATGCCCAGTTGTTCTGGCATCAGTTGTTGAAAAGACTGTTGTTGCTCTATTTTAGTGCCTTTGTTCCTTTATCAAAGATCAGTTAACTGTATTTAATTGATTCTACTTGTGGACTCTATTCTGTTCCATAGATCTATATGTCTATTCTTTCATCAGTTTCACACTGTCTCGACTAATGCAGCTTTGTAGTTAGTCTCGAGGGCAGGTAATATCATTCTTCCAGCTTCATTCTTTTCCTTCAGTATTGTCTTGGCTATTCTGGGTCTTCTGCCTCTCCACATAATCTTTAGGATTAGTGTGTCAATATCCACAAAATAACTTACTGAGATTTTGATTGTGATTGCCTTGAATCTATAGATCAAGTTAAGAACTAACATCTTGACAATATTCAGTCGTCTTAGACATGAACATAGTATATCTCTCCATATGTTTAATTCTTCTTTGATTTCCTTTATCAGAGTTTTGTAGTTTTTCTTATACAGAATTTGTACATATTTTATTGGATTTATACCTAAGTATTTCATTTTGGGGGTGCTAATGTAAATGGCCACATATTTTAAATTTCAAATTCCACTTTTTCTTTGCTTATATATAGGAAAATGTTTGACTTTGGTATGTTAACCTTATATCCTGGAATCTTACTATAAATGCTTATTAGTTCTGGGAGTGTTTTTGTCTATTCTCTCACACTTATGTCATCTGCATACAAAGACAGTTTTATCTCTTTCTTCCCAATCTGTGTAGATTTCATTCCCTTTTCTTTCTTTACTGCATTAGCTAGGATGTCCAGCACAGTATTGAGAAGCAGTGGTGAAACATCCTTGCCTTGCTACTGGTCTTAGTGAGAAAGCTTTGAGTTCCTCACCATTAAGTATGGTGTTATCTGTAAGTTTTTGTAGATTTTTTAAAAATCAAGTTAAAGAAGTTCTCTTCGATTCCTTCTTTATTGAGAGTTTTTATCATAAATTAGGTGTTTGATTTTGTCAAATGCATTTTCTGTATCTATTAGTGTGATCATGAATTTTTTTCTTTTTTAGCCTGTTGATATAATGAATGATATTCATTGACTTTCGACTGTTGGACCAGCCTGGCATACTTGGGATAAATCCCACTTAGTCATGGTGTATAGTTTTTTAAACACATTGTTGAATTTAATTTGCTATCTTGTTGAGTATTTTTGCATTAGTGCTCATGAGAGATATTGTTCTGAAGTTTTATTTTCTTGTACTGTCTTTGGTTTTCATGTTGGGGCAATACTGGCCTCACAGAATGAAATAGGAAGTATTCTGCTGCTGCTTCTATATTCTGAAAGAGATTACAGGCAATTGGTACAATTACTTCCTTAAATATGTGATTGAATTCACCAGTGAACCTATCTGAGCCTAGTGCTTTCTGTTTTAGAAGGTTATTAATTATTGATTCAACTTTGTTAATAGATATAGGGCTATTCAGATTATCTATTTCTTCTCATGTGAGTTTGGATAGATTGAGACTTTCAAAGAATTGGTCCATCTTATCTATGTTATTAAAATTGTGGGCAGAGTATTGCTCATAGTGTTCGTTTATTATCCTTTTAATGTTCATGGGATCTGTAATGATGCCCCCTCTTTCATTTGTGATATTAGTAATTCACTTCCTCTCTTTTTTTTTCTTAGTTGGCCTGGCTAGATGCTTATCGATATTATTGATCATTTCAAAGAAACAGTTTTTGGTTTTGTTGATTTTCTCCATCAATCTCTTGTTTTCAATTTCATTGATTTCTCTTGTAATTTTTATGTTTTATTTTCTTCTGCTTTGGATTTAACTTGCTCTTCTTTTTCTAAGATGAAAGCCTAGATGATTGACTTCAAATCTTATCTAATATATGCATTCAATGCTATAAATTTCCCTCTAAGCACTTTTTTTGGTACCTCCCACAAATTTTGATAAGTTACGCTTCCATTTTTATTTAGTTCAATATATTTTAAATTATTCATGACATTTATTTTTTGACCCATGTGTTATTTAGAAGTCTAATCTCCACATATTTTGGAATTTTCCAGTTAACTTTCTGTTATTGCTTTCTAATTTAATTATATTGTGGTCTGAGTGCAGACATTGTATGATTTCTATTCATTTAGATTTGTTAAGGTATGTTTTGTGTACCAAAATGTGGTCTATCTTGGTGAATGTTCCATATGAGCCTGAGAAGAATTATGTTGTTGTATAATCTATAGGTATCCATTATATTCCATTGGTTTGATGGTATTAATGAGTTCAACTATGTCCTTACTAATTTTTGCCTGCTAGGTCTGTCCATTTCTGATATGTTGAAGTGTTCAAGCATAATAGTGGATTCATCTATTTCCACTTGCAATTCTATCATTTTTTTCTCATGCATTTTGGCACTCTGTTTTTTATTTTTACATGCTCACACATTAAAGATTGTTATGTCTTCTTAACAGATAAAAAGAGAATTGCCTCCTTTATCATTATGTAAGGCCCTTTTTTAATTCCTGATAATTTTCCTTTACTTAAAGTCTGCTCTATTTGAAATGAATAGCTAACCCCATTTTCTTTTGATTAGTGTTAGCATGGTATATCTTTTTCAATTCAATTACTTTTCATCTAAATGTGTTTTTATATTTAAAGTGGATTTCTTGTAGACTACATATATTTGGGTCTTGTTTATTCATTCTCTGACAATTTCAGTCTTTTAATTGGTGCATTTTAATCATTGACACTCAAAGTGATTGCTGATGTAGTTGAATAAGTATCATATTTGTTACCGTTTTATATTTGTTGCCCTTGTTCTTTGCTCCTATTTTTGTCTTCCACTCTTTTTCTGCCTGTTGTGGTTTTAATTGAGCACTTTATATGATTTCATTTCCTCTGTTTTCTAAGAATATTAGTCATACTTCTTTTTAAAAAAATTTCAGTGGTTTCCCTAGAGGTTGCAATAAACATTTACAAGTAATCTAACTTTCATACAACACTATATCAGTTCACAGATAGCATGAATTTCTTACAAGAGCAAAATAACCCTAATTCTTACTTTCTGTCCCTTGTATCATTGCTGTCATTTATTTCATTTATACGTAAGTGTACATAAGCATAGGTATACATTGTTGAAATCATTATTTTGAACAATTATTCATTAGATAAGTTAAGAATAAGAAAAATAAAAGTCTTTTTTTCCTTCACTTATTTCTTCTCTGATGCTCTTTATTTCTTTGTGTATATCCAAGTTTCTGACCTATGTTATTTTTCTTCTCTCTAAAGAATTTTTGTGGGTTTTTTTTTTTTTTTTTGCAAATCAGATCTTCTCGCAAAACATTCCTTCAATTTTTGTCTGAGAATGTCTTTATTTCTACTTCACTTTTGAAGGGTAATTTCACAGGGTTCAGAATTTTATGTTTCTCTCTCTCTCTCTCTCTCTCTCTCTCTCAACACTTTGAAAATTTTACTCCAGCCTCTTCTTGTTTGTGAGGTTTGTGAAGAAAAGTCAAACATAATTATTTGCTCTTTTCATAAGTAAGAGTTTTTCCCCTCTGGTTTCTTCCTGGATTTTTTATCTTTGATTTTCTGTAGTTTGAAAATGTTGTGCCTAGCTATGGTTTTTCTGGCATTTATCCTGATTGGTGTTCTTTGAGCTTCCTAGATCTGTGGTTTAGCCTCTGACATTAATTTAGGAAACATTCTCAATCATTATTGTTTCAAATACTTCTTTTGTTCCTTTCTTTCTTCTCTTTCTGGCATTCCAATTGTACACACTTTTGTAGTTTTCCCAAAGTTCCTGGAAACTTTGTTCTTTTTCTTTTTTTTTTTCCAGTCATTTTTTTCTTTGCTTTTCAGTTTTGGATGTTTCTATTTAGGTATCTTCAAACTAAGAGATTCTTTTCTTAGCTGTGTTCTGTCTACTAATAAGCCCATCAAAGTCATCTTTCGGGCTGAGACCATGGCGCACTCAGGAGAGTGTGGCACTGGGAGCGCAGCAGTGCTCCCACTGCAGGTTCAGATCCTATATAGGGATGGCTGGTGCGCTCACTGGCTGAGTGCGGTGTAGCCGGTCACAAAAAAGAACAACAACAACAAAAAAAGACATCTTTCATTTCTGTTACACTTCTGTTGATCTCTAGCATTTCTCTTTGATTCTTAGAATTTCCATTTCTCCACTTACATTGCTGCTCTGTTCTTGCATAGTGTTGACTTTATCCATGACAGACCTTAGTATATTAGTCATAGTTGTTTTAAATTCCATTCTGATCATTTCAACATCCCTGACATACCTGACTCTGGCTTTGAAGCTTGCCCATTCTCTTCAAACTGTGTTCTTTGCCTTTTAGTATGACATGATTTTGTTCTTGACAGGCAGACTGCTGTAAATAAGTCTTTAGTAATGTAGTATAAAATGCTAGAGGAAGAATAGTGTTCTATAGTCGCATGATTAAGTCTCAGTCTTTAAGCAAGCCTATAACTGTCAATTGTGATCTTCACATATGCTTCAGTTTCTTCTCCCTCTTTAGGTGAAACAGAATGACTTGAGGAGTTTGGACTTGTGTATATTTTTTCTTCATGGGGATGGCTAGATCTGCCTGGAGTTAGGTTTCTGTGGCTTCACAATTCTTTTAAAATAATCAAAAACTTCTTAAGCCTCAATGAAAAGAATCACTAGAATTGCTTCCTTAATATTTTTATGTATAATTTCAACTTTATTTCCATTAAGGTCCACATTCTAGAAAGAAATATTATAAGTTCTTTCACACTATTTAAAATGATAATCTACTTTTTTTTTTCTTTTCACAGAATGTACTTTCTGGGCTTGTGTACAGGCTTAAAAATCCCACCACTTCTTTTATATATTGTGTTAATTTTTGCCATGAAGAAAAAATATGAAGGGAAAGATACCAAGGCATCAGAAAATGAAAGAAAAGCCGTGGATGAAACAAACTTAGAACCCTTAAATAATAATGGACTGCTTGTAGTTTCTGATGGAGCAGACAGTAAAATGCATATTTAAGGGGAGAAAAAAACGCTTCTGCTACTGGGTTTTTCAACCAATATTGTATTCATTCAGTAAGATGTTATCTTTGAGCACGTCCTGGTCCTTTTACTGAAAATTCCCGAACTCTTTACTTATGATGGTACAATTAATAAGCCTATGAGTTTATAATGAAACAAACTATAAATAAAAAGGAATGGGAATATTCATTGTTAGGGTATAGTTATGCATTAGTGGTTAAGATTAGAATACACGATCATACAAATTTAAAGTGAAAGGCATAATTAGTATTTAATAAAGAAAAAGTATTTGCTTAGGTAATTGTAACTCAATAAAACCTGTGACTAGAAAATGGGCAGAGGTGAAAAAGGAGGACAGAGATTAGTAGCTTATATAAGGAGAAAAGCTTTATGTCTGAAAAAAAAAAAAACAGTTTGGACCATGGTACTCAAGACTGAAATCTAGTCTAATAGAGGATTTATGCTATCATAACATCTGTTCTTCATGCTAAGTCATATGTTTCACAGATTATTATTAATTTATAATTTTAAATTGTTTGACTAGCAACCCTGATGCATCTTCTTCCAACCTCCCATTAAAATTCTGCTGAAGAAATTGAGATATTCAAAATTTTGCAAGTATGATTGTCAGACAACATATTACAGAATGTGTTGCTTCTATCAGACCCATGGAAGTGGATTAAGATAAACTATCTTTGACTTGAGAATACAAAGCCCATTTAAAAGATGTGTCTTCATTCCATCTGTCTATTCTTTGGGAGAAATGAAGTCTGGACCAGATAATACATCAGCTGTCACTCTATTGCATGATTTTGTTTGTTTCTTTATTTTTGGCACATAAAAAAGATATCTTTTACATCTCTACACATGAGACAAGAAGTAGAGCTGTTGAGAACAAATATTTGAATAGTGGATTTTCTAGTGGCAGCAGCTAGCTCTATTACAATGAATGCCAGAGACTGTAGTTTTTTATTCTCAAATGGTTAAAAGATTTTTTTGCATCAGAATCACCTGTGAATTTTTATTGAAAGTACAATCAAGTCAGAGATTCTGATCCAAAACATCTGTGATGAAGCCTACACATCTCCTTTAAAAAAAAAAAAATTCACATACGACACTAGGAGACCTTAATAGCCAGAAAACATCACCATGGGGGAAGGTACACCTGAATGCCAGTTATACAACATTAATACTTGCAAGATGTTAGGAATTAGCCTGGAAGGTATACATATTAACCTGTCCTCAGGCTGTAGACTTAAGGAAAGATTCATTAATCACACAAGCAGAAATATGGGGGGAAAACCCACCCATGTATTAGGTTAGTAGAAAAAAGTAATGGAGTTATTTTCTTAAAATACTACAAAGAAAATAAAGGCAACATTTTGAGTATTTATCTACTTAACAATTATTGAGTGGCAACTATCTGTCAGGAAAAAATGAAATATGAGAGTAAGCAAAAACAAAAAAGCACACTCCTTTATGTGGCTTAGACTTTAAAGGAGAAGAACATTGACAGAACTAAATTATAACATTTTATAAATTGTAAGAAGAAACTTACATTTATAAATGTGATATATGTGGTGAAGGAAAGAGGAACATTAAAAATAAACCTTAGATTATTTGATCTACTGCAGAATCCAAGACCCCAGAATAAATGTTAATCCTTAATCCAATGACACTTATTAAACAGGAACATAAATCCTAGGGGGGGAAGAGCATAACTTTAATAGAGAAATAAGTAGGTTTTCAAGGAAGTAAAATAATGTTAAGAGTATAATTAAAATGTACATTGGACAAAGTTAAAAGGAGACAATGGCCAAAAAATCATACCAGTGATGAAGACGTTAACTTTGAAAATCTCTGAAAATATGGAAGAAAAGGACTGAGGCAAATTTGGAAAGAAGGGTTTAGAAGAGACACTAAAGCATCAGCCTAAAGACTCTGGATATTTTTAGAAAGAAATCAGAATTGGAAAGGAAACATCAATCAAAGACACAATGAAAAAATGTCTTCTTGCTATGAAAAATGAAAAACACAGAGACTAGATTTTCTTTATTGTCTTTACATCCCTATCCATTTTCACACAATGGAGGCTTTGATGTTTTTTCCCCTAAAATGCTCCTTTTTCCACTTAACTCCTGCTCAGTGTTCAGATATATGTTCAATCACCATTCTTTCAACATCTCCAATTTCTTGACTGGTTGTAATCTTCCAATCATATCCATAGCAACACAGCATTTATCAAAATGGCAATTTTAAATTTATTTATGATAATTTGCAAACTATCTTTCCTACCAGTCATAAGCTCCAGTAAGATAGGAATTGAATTCATTTTTACCCATTGTATTAGTTTTGGTTCTCCAGAGAGACAGAATCAATAGAATAGATAGATGATAGATAGATAGATAGATAGATAGATAGATAAATAGATAGATAGATAAGGGGGAATTTATCAGGAAAATTGGCTCATAAGATTATGGAGGCTGAGAAGTCCCATGACAGGCCATCTGCAAGTTGGAGACCCAGGGAGGCTGGTAGCATGGCTTGGTCCAAATCTGAAGGTTTCAGAACCAGAGAAGCTGATGGTGTAACTGTCAGTGTGAGGCCAAAAACCTGAGAACCCAGGGTCGGCTTGTGTAAGTCCCAGAGTGCAGAGCCAGAAAGCATGGAGTTCTGATGTCCAAGAGCAGGAGAGGTAGGGTGTCTCAGCTCCAGGAAAAAGAGAGTGTTCACCTTTCTTCTTCCTTTTTTGTTCTATTCAGGCCCCCAGCCAACTAGATGGTTCCTATCCACATTGAGGGCACATCTTCCCCACTCAGTTCATTGACTCACATACCAATTTCCTCTGGAAACACACTCAGAAATAATGCATTAGCAGCTCTCTAGGTAATCCTTTATCCAATTAAGTTGACACCTAAAATTAACCATCACACCCATCTATTTTATTCTCAGCACATAGCTTGGTGCCTGACACATAGCAGGTACTTTATTAATTATTTTGGAATGAATGAATGAGTAAATGAGCAGGCAAATTCCAAGGATGCCAGTCATATAAAATATGAATTTTATAAATAAGAATTAAAAACAACATGCAAAAATATAAATAGCTGCATTAAAGTCATGAGGTCAGGAAAAATAAAATCTTCTGATTCTTCACCAGTTTGTTTAGTACTGATCTTACCACTATAATTCTTATGTTTAAACTCTACAAGAAAAAAAATTTTTTTTGAGTCACATGCATTTAAAAAGTCTTCATTTGTCTGGTAATCCAGCATCTGTGTCATATCTGAAGTTTGGTTCTAATGATTGTTTTGTCTATTCAGACTGTCTTTGTTACCAGGCACACAGGTTCAGCTGCCTACCCCCTTTCAAAAACAAACCATTCACAGTCAAATGTTGGTGAAAATGGAAGTCAGCTTTTATTCAGGAACACGAATGACCTGAGAAGAGATGTTGGGCTAACCCATCACTCTGGTAAATCCGAAGGAGAGTGGCCAGACTAAAACCATCTCAAAGATTCAAATTTACTGAGTGGTTTTTAGAGAGGACCCAGGAGAATGGAACGTGGGAAAATGGAAAGCAGGAAGGAGGGAGCTGAGCAGTGAGGGCTTCATGCAAGGCCTCAGGAAGAAATTTTCGCCAAGACTCTATCAGATTTCTGTTCCCATCTTTATCTCAAGGTCCTGCTGGATAGTACATGCCTTGTTGTGAGTCTGCAGCTTCAGGCTGGATGGAAAACAACTTTACATTTATGGAAATAATGTCATCTTGCCCCATAGCCAAGGTTCAAAATATCAAATAACCATGGGAAAAGAGGGAACTCAGAGAAGTTTATGCCAACGAAGAAACTGTGTCCTTTTAAAATCTTTGAGAGCCGGTTTTAGATCCCAGCATGGTGTCAGTCCTGCTCACTCCAACAACTTCCCCACTGTCAATAGTTCCTTCCATTTCTGTGGAACAGGACAGACAATTCATCTTACTGCTTCAGGCTGGGTCAAGGTGATGAAAGGGTTAAGTTGGAGTGGAGCTATTTGACATGATAAGAGGACATAGCTTTTGGTACCCAGCTAGAGTGACAGGAGTGATCAAAGGTATCTCTTTATCTATTGTCTTAGCAATTGATTGGCAGCAGGTGGCTTACCCAGAGTTAGCAGATTATACATTGATTGGTACATCAACAATTTTAAGAACTTACATGAATCCTCTGTTTAAGAATAGGATGCCTACTCCAGATCATGAGCCCTACCCCTCTTCAAGGCTATGAATACTTTTAGAGAGGTGCTTATGGAGACAAAACATCATTTTCCCGTTTTTGATCAAAACATTCCTCATGAAAGCATTGATGATACATTTCCCAGTTGAAAAGGTCTTACTTCTATTTGTATTGAACCCTTAGCACTGGGAAGGCTCATTCCCATGTAGACTGACCCCTAAGTGCTGGAAAGGTTATTCCCAAGTACATTGTCACACCTTAGAGGGAAAGATGAAACTTAAAGATTACTCACAAACAGTTCTCAAATTTTGGAAGACTCAAACAGAGGGAAAAAAAGCAAACGCTTCTCTTTTTTCATAAAACTATATTTTACCAAATTGTTTTGGTTATAGATAGCTTAAGAGGGAAAATTTTCTTAAATCTGAAAAACAAAACATTTAAGTAAAGAACCGATGAAAGTTACTAAACATTATCTTTATCAGCTATCTAACTTCGTGTAATTAATTTTTCCTTTGCTTGATCTTAATTAGCAGTTTTATAAACCCATCAGATTTCTTATTAGAGTTATGAAAAACTTTCATTCTGTCCATTGATCTTAAAGCTATTTAAAACTTGTGTTGAAAAGTACTTGTTAGAGTCTTTTCTATGAATCTGATTGTGTATGCCTTTAGAGAAAAATCAAAACTTCTTGCAATTTTATTAAGAGCAGATCAATACCTCAAGAAAAACCTTGTTCTAATATGGGGGACATTTTGTTGTATATCAGTGTCTTTTTGAAATCAAAG